ACGTTGGGTCGACTTCATGGAAAATCTCTCTCTTTCCGAGGCCCCCGGGACCCCAACCAATCATACCAACCAGTCCCAAAACACATTACGAACCTGCTCGAGGCCTCAAATCACATCACACAACACGAAAATCACGGGTTACACCCCAATTCAAGCTTTATGAACTTTGAACTTTCCAACTTCTATTTCCGATGTTTAAACCTATCAAATCACGTCCGATTGATCTCAAATTTTGCACACTAATCATATTTGACATTACGGACCTACTCCAACTTTCGGAATTGGATTCCGACCCCGATATCAAAAAGTCAACCTCCGGTCAAACTTCCCAAAAACCTTCAAATTTCTATCTTTAGCCAAATGGCTTCAAAATGACCTACGGACCTCCGAATTCACTTCCGATCGCGCCCCCAACTCCAGAATCACCATATGGAGCTATTCCCAGGCTCGGAATCTCAAACGGACATCGATAACACTGAAATGCACTTCAAGCCAAAAATAAAAAATTCCTTCTAAAATGCTAACTTCCACATTAGGCGCCAAAACACACCCGGGTTATCCAAAACCCGAACCGGGAATACGCCCAAGTCTGAAATCATCATACGAACTTGCTGGAACCTTGGGATCCTGATTCCGAGGTCGTTTACTCAAAAATCTAATCCTAGTTCATTCTTTCAATTTTAAGCTTCTCAAATGAGAATTTTCATTTAAATTTAACTCCGATCTGCCTGAATTTAAATTCCGACCATGCGAACAAGTCACAATACCTGAAATGAAGCTGCTCATGGCCTCAGACTGCTGAACGACGCGCTAGGGCTCAAAACGACCGGTCGGGTCGTTACACTTACGCTGTACTATGCACTAAGTATAAGCGTATTAGGTAATATTATATCGAATATGGCTTATATATATGTAATATATATAGTTACGCTGTACTATGCACTAAGTATAAGCGTATTAGGTAATATTATATCGAATATGGCTTATATATATGTAATATATATACTTACGTTGTACTATGCACTAAGTCTAAGCGTATTAGGTAATATTATATCGAATATGGCTTATATATAGTTACGCTGTACTATGCACTAAGTATAAGCGTATTAGGTAATATTATATCGAATATGGCTTATATATATGTAATATATATACTTACGCTGTACTATGCACTAAGTATAAGCGTATTAGGTAATGTTATATCGAATATGACTTATATATATGTAATATATATACTTACGCTGTACTATGCACTAAGTATAAGCGTATTAGGTAATATTATATCGAATATACTATATCTACATATATATACTATACACTTAGTATATATATAGTATACACTATACACTTATTATATATATATATATATATATATATATATATATATATATATATATATACACACACACTATACACTTAGTATATACACTTAGTTTAAAATGAATTAAAATCCTAAATTTATTTTTAAATTAAACTTAAAATAATTTATTTTTGCTTTATATATGGCGACCAACTTTGCTCGCCATTTTGGTCAAACGGTCAAAAAATGGCGACCAAGTTTGGTCGCTATGTTGGTCAAATTAGTTAATACCTATTTGCTGCCAAGAATACCGACGAAAGTTGGTCGCTATGTTTTAATCTACAGTCAAAATCGGGTTGCCCTACCAAAATGTTATTTTCTTACCAAAAAATTTCCCAAACTCTCTCTCCACATATTCCCTTATACAAATCAATCCCCCCACCCCTTGCCACTGTCGTTGGAGCTGCTACCGCCGCTACCACTGTCGCCGCTACCAGTGCCGCCGGAGCCGCCGCTACCACTGTCGCCGGAGCTGTTGTCTCCCGCCCCTTTCCACTACTGTTTTAATCCTCCTTTTAATCTACCAAGGTTAGTAATCTACCTTCTTAGCTTTTTAATTTTTAATTTTTGCTATATAATTTTATGTAATTTTTCAGAATTTTTGTTTATTTAGTATTAGTGTTTTTGGTTTGAACTACATTAGATTTATGAAATTAAGGTAGAAATTATGATCTTTTAGTTCTTGTATTAATTTATATTGAGTTAAATTGTGAAAAGAAACAATTCATACATTAGCAATACCTAAATAAGAGTACTTGTAAATACATTGTCCTAAATAAGAATACATTATATCTAAATTAATTTGTTCTTGCTTTATTTATATAGATGGAACATCGTACTTGGATGTACAATAGAAATTATCCTAATCGGCGGGGATTGCGGGAGGATTTTGTAGAAGGGGTTGATGAATTTATTAGACACGCAATGTCACTTCCGCCATACATAAATGAAGGAGTAATTAGGTGCCCTTGTGATAGGTGCGACT